GACCTAACTAAATGGGGGGGAAAGCGGAAACCCAGAGTTTTTTGCTTCGATTTAACCACACCTCACGGAAACAGTCACCTCTTAAAACAGTCTACAGTTTTGACACTAATCCACCCCCTCTGTTAGTTGACATATTTTTTAACAGGAAGCTAGTACTTTGTGCCAACAGCAAAACACCATCTCATGGCCAGTTGTAGATGATTTTCCCCATAAGTTTTTTTTGTGTAAGAACTTTTCGTTTTTGAGCATCCAAAACAATCCTCGGAATCAGAGAAACTTCAAACTCGAACACGACGGCTTAGTTTGTAAGCAGAGGAGTCAAAATTCACCGTGGGTAGAGCTTAATCGAAAAAAAATGGCTGTTTAAATTTTTCTCCGCTTTAGCGATTCGCAGTCCACCGGGAATCCCCTTCCTTTTTCGGTGGGGTGATAAAAGACGGGCGGGGGAGGGGAAGGGGTGCACTGTTACATGACATTCCGTAAACGACCGCGAAGGAAGTCTGAGTGTTCGCCTGATTGCGTTATTCCGTCGGAAGCAAGGTTTGACTGCTTGTTTAGGACAAGTACACGCCTACAACAATGTTTACAGAAACATTAGTTACCTTTACACACGACACAACCAATTCCATATTCCTTTGCTTTCTTGATGGCTAAATCCATGCAAAAGTTACCAACAACCTGTTTCGTGACAGAAAGAATTAACTCAAATGGAAGCGTTGCTTTGTGTTGTATACTAACGTAGATTAAGATCGTCACGCAAATTTCAATTACGTTGCGTGACACGACTTAATGAGAGAGGCACTTCATCGAACGATTAATATTTAAGACTCAAAGAGCGTGAACAAAATAATCACCTTATAAAACTGAGATTGAAAAAGTATTTGATTTTTTTCTCAATGAAACCAGTTAGATTGGGAATCTAGATCCGATCTTGTTAGAATTTCAGTCCCAAATATCTCATATGCTTTAAAAAATGTGTGGACAGTTTCCTTTAAAAGCACTCACGCAAAACTTGGCACACAATTACGTAACCCCAAAAGACTATAAACTGGGATTTCACGGTGACTTGCACGGTGACTTTTCACATATAAAGGAACAAAATTAAAATAAAAAGAAGCTTGACTTTATTTACCACACCAGGAAGATTGTTACCATTCACCAGCGCAGTCGCTGCAAAATCCTTTTCAAGACTCGGTTCGCCTCTCGCTTGCGTGACGCCACTCTCAATGTCACGCATATACATTTCTTTAAAAGAGATAACGCAAAGTTAAGTAGTGTTGACTAAGGGTTGCCAAGAGTGAGCATAATCGATTTTGAGAAGCGAGTCACATGTTTGTCGCATGCTCACGGGTTCGGTGACGCTTTCTTGGTTGTATAACTATTTTAAGGAAACCTCACGCTCGGCGGGGCGAGGTGGGGAAAGAAATATTCTATTTCTTGTGAGGATCTTGACACTGCTTTGAGATGATGTAAGACTTAAATACACTTCTAAATATGAAATACTTTCTGTAGATGTTTTCTCGCCTTTCAGAACGTTTTCAGACATATGCCAGTTCCTGTGAAAAACTGCGTTCGTGTACGTTTGTTACATCGAAAATTAAACCAAGATTATTTTTGGCATATAAAAGAAAAAAGAAACATACTTTCTCTCGTCTGCAGATACGAACAATCTTGCTTGCTTGTTTATAAGATTGTGCGTTAAACAATAATGGTCTATTATAAAAACGATGATTCAACTATAATCGCTTACCTAATCGGTAGAGCCCGTGAGTAAAATGACCTCTAATATCAGCATCTATGAGCATATTAGCCATAGCTACACTGTGTTTGGGATCTGTTCCTATGGCTGTCATACACCGCTCTATAAATGAGCGTGCCTTTACCACCGACACAAGCTTTGTCATCCTGACCTCTTTATATAAGTGACTAAAGAAAAAATCTTCGATGCAGTCGGGAGATTGCGTGACTCAGCTCTATGAGTAACACGAGATGCGAGTCCGCAAAAAAATTGAATTTTGATCGCGTTCAGTCTGTTCAGTACAACGTCGAGCACTTTTTTGTTGGATCTGTTATTGAATAAAAGTTAACTTTCACCCAGAATAAGGTATTCATGTTCTTTTCCTTGTCGCATAAAAACAAACAAACAAATAAACAGGCATTCATGTTCTTTTCCTTGTCGCATAAAATAAACAAACAAATAAACAAATGATAATATAAAACAAAATTATGTTGACAAATTCAATTGGCTTATAGCCAATTAATACTGAGCCTGAGGAGTTAAGGGGGGGGGGGTTACAAGTTACCTCTATTTCCTTCCCCCCCACAGGAATTTGTATCATAAGCTCTGCATTCAGATAGTAATGATACAATCATAATTGTGGGTGGGTGGGTCTTGCTGCCTATGACTGGCATCTATAAAAAATATAAAAACATATAATTATTTGGTTGCTTATGAATGGGGGCCTGAATAGATTTTAAAAAAAATAGTTTTACTAACACTTTTCAGTCATCCACCAAGACTTCTGGCTAAAGCTCTTTTTTTTCATAAGTACAGTGGAACCTATATTAGGCATCACCATATTAAGCAGTCAGTTTTCAAAGTCCCGAATTTTTCCCTGTTAATTAATAACAATAACTTTCATCGCTATTAAGCAGTCACCTCTCTGGTGGTCACTGTAGTGATGAATCTTTATCCCTTTTGCTCCCATGATCTAATTAGTAATTCTTCTTACTGTCATACAATCTTTTATTATTATTTGGGAGAATTTAGTATTGGATCCACTTTACGTCCCCCAAGTTATATTCTGCTTTATTCTCATCAGTTTTCTGCTTGATATTGTACTGATATTTTAAGGCAGGAGAAGTTTTCTTCTAGTCACTCATGGGAGTTAAAGAGTTGAGAATGCCTTCATCATGGGAATGGTTGGCAAGACTGCATGACTAGATGTCAATAATGAATATTAATGTGGTGAAATGTATTTAAGTGAAGTGAATACTGATTTAAGAGTGTTGTAAGTTGTGACTGTATAACCAGAATATTGATAGACTTTACAATCACCCTTTACTGAGTCCCAGCAGCTGATTTGTTTTGTTCTTCACCTGTATTGAACAATCATTTAAAATGAAACCACTTAAATAAAACTGAGAATAATCTTTCAAGAAAAAGTTATTATACATTTATCTCCCAAAATTAGAAGTATTTTTGAGCTGATTTTGTACATTAAGTGGCAAATTACAGAATAACATGGCATTTTTTAGTGTTTTTTAATGATACCCCTGCTAGATTCTCTTTCCAAACTGTCTAATATTTCATAAATGTGTAAAAGAGGGAGGATAAGATGTCCCATCAAAAGTCGTACATGGCTTTGCTAAATGCACCCCTACATTTGATACTCAACTAAAACAAGTTCCATTGAACTATATTTCTTGCTGGGGTTCTTAAATTCTTATCAATTTCTATAAACACAAATAATTTTAAATTGCAGTCCTTCTTCATACTGAAATCAGTTTTCACTGACCACTATTCATATGGATACCTGTAAAAAGCCTTCAGTGACTTATCATGGACTAAATTTTCTCACAATCCTTCATGAAATACAGGAGGAATTTAACTTTGCATCAAGGTTGTGTTTCCCCAAGCACTGAGTGATTTAAACCATGATGTTCTTTCTTGCTACAATGATTATTTTTCCCAGTGCCAATTAATTTTAAACAGCTCAAAAATCGAATATACTAATTCACTTCATTAAATAAATCATAGTTAATCAGATGGTATATAATAATAATAATAATAATAATAATAATAATAATAATAATAATAATAATAATAATATAACAAAAATAATGATGATAATAAGTACAAGGCAGAAACTTTCAATTTTCTTCCCTGAACAATAACAAGCATTTCCTAACAGGTTGGTGTTTTTGTTGTTTATTAAACAGTAGTTTCAATCTATTAAGTTTTTACTTCTATGGTCATCTGTCACCCTTCATGCAAATCAGCAAAATATTCAAACATATTTTTGTGCAAAATAAAGGCAATTGTGTTTATCATCCTTCAAATATTTGAAATATCAAAAATATGTTTACAAACAGCTTACTGTTTGCTGCGTGGGATTTTTTCCTTTTTGTGTCCTTTGGTATGACAAACAAATATTTTGCAAAAACCTTTAATGAAGACTAATTGAAGTGGACATAGGTTTTGAAAATGTGAAAATTAAGGAATATCACCTGGGTGAGCAGAGGGGGGTTCAGCATTGTTAACAGAGTATTAAGGGGGGGGGG